CCAAATCTTCATGTAGGGTTCGTATAGTAGATAGATGCTTCTTTTCAACTCTTTTTTTCAATCAATGCAAATCTTTTCTCGAGTATTGCATCACTTAGAGCCAACTCTTCTTTAACATTTTTCAGGTCATTACTTAGCATATCTAAAGTAGACCTATAATTTCTTTCCACCTCGAGTCGGGCCTTCTTGATTCTTACTTCAATTTCCTCTTCTCGATCTATGATTTCTTACGCTGATCCTTCGGGTATTACTTTGAGAGGGGCATGATCAATGAACCAATGGAGGTATAAGGGGTCAACTTTTTCTTCAACACGATTATCATCCATAGCTTTTAAACCTAAAGTTCGACTACCACCCCAAATCTTTTGAGCTTCTGATTCTCGATCTCGATCTTCAAATGTTATCTCCCACACAGAATTCTGCGTATCCTCAGTTTTTGGTAAAATTTGTTTTTGTCCTAGTTGGTGTAGAACTCAGAGGGGTATGTATGGTTGGAACCCGCGAATGCTTGTCAGAACAAAGAATGGACGATAGGAAGAAATAACAATTACCTCACTAGCAGGAAACCAATGATAGTTCCATCTAATTTTAGATGTCGTCAATTTAAGAAGATAATGTCTCCATGCTTTGACACCTTTTGGCAATTTGTCTCCTAATTCTTTCATCCTATCTGGGTGACTCAAAATGTAATTCGTCCAATCGGATTTGAAATCTGTCACAACACGATGGTGATACAGGTGCTCCAAAAACCACATTTGCAATAAATTGCTACAACCTTTTAAAAATTCTCTTCCTCTCTACATTTAATCAAAGAGCGATAAATATCAGCCAACATCATCGGCAATATAGTGGATTTCCTTTTCTTTATCATAACGGTGACTATTCCTGACAGACGACTATCGAATTTTTTATCCTTCATTGGAAAAATCATAGCTCCCAAGAATGCTACCATGAATGCTTCTTGTCTAGATTTTTCCCAAGTAGGGAGACGTTGTCCATTTTAAAATTGTTTTCCATAGCTTGAAAATCCTTTCTTCTTTCTATATCTTGAGTACAAGAATTCCAAAGAAATCAACCCATTATCAAAACACTCCTTATGATGATGGATGATGTGCATCTGTTCTAGAAATTTACCTATGCTGACACTCTTAGGAGCTATCAGTGTTTTTGTTTAAAGATCCTGGCCTGAACCTGTGAAACCACCAAATTCTTCTAATGTAGGCGTCAACTCAAAATCACTAAATCGAAACACATTATTTGTGGAATCCCAAAACGGGATCAAAGCCTCGATCAAACCTCTGTCAAGACTAAATCTCATGATATCCGCAAGGAAACCAAAAAGTTTGAATATCTAAGTCCAACTAAATTCATCCATATTGTTCCATCAACCCATTAGTAATTGTGGGATTTTCTCTGTGATCATAAACTTTGGGGGATCATTGACCATTTCGACTAGTTCATCCCTTTGTCTTTTATAACACCTCATAGATCTCATGATTACCTGGTTGAGAAAAAGAAAATCGGGATTTTTAAAATCAAATTTAATTGTGAAACTTTGATAATTCGAAATTATTTATTGGAGTAGTTAAAATAATAAAAATAAAAATTATTCGGAATGTTTAAAGTGATCATTTATTCAGGTTGTTTTTGAAAAGAATGACCAGATAAAGAGACCATTTTGATCAAAAAAAGAAAAAGAAAAAGAAAAGAATGTGTGTATGTACAATTTAAAAGACATATATACATATATCATTAATATTATTATTTTTATTCTTTATGCATTCTTTTAATAAAAGTGAAAATAAAATTGAGGATTAGTTGTGTATGTATATATATGTGTATTAGTTTGTTTATTTTTAAACATTGGTTGAAAATGGTTAGAAAATATATATTTATTTCTTTAGTCGATTATCCTAAGCCGATCAATATTTTGTTATAGTCTTTACATGAAGCAACAAGTAGCACAAAATGCTCATGATGGTCTCACGAAAAGGTCATGTCCTAGTCAGATTGGGCCCCTATGACGAATCTCGCTAAGTTACATGCACATGATGCAAATTAATCGGAACCTAGTGAGGATATCATGTCTGAAAGTATTAATTCTACTAAGGTTTAACTTGAGGAGAAAAGATATCTAGACTGGCTCTAAAACGAGCGGACAACTCGAGTAAGGAGTAGCAACGTACCGGTAGTAAACGCTTTCCGGCTTTGTACATGGGTGCTCCCATCCTGTACATATTTAACTGAAAGTCCTTCACCATGGATCGAAGATCCACTGGCTATCTTGATAGAAGCTGGGTGCGCACTCGCAATTCCCATATTATTATTAGAGAAGACTCAATATGGTTCGTGAGAGAAGACAGTTATAATCCAATCCAAATATTATCAAAATATTAAATAAATAATTATCATATTAAATTAAATAAATATAATATCCAAAAGCGTAAATATGTAAATCATAGTCATACATAAATCAATATTTAAAGCTCGAATTCTAAGTTAGTGATCCCCAACGGAGTCGCCATCTGTCACACCCCTTTTTTTTTCTCAATATTTTTTTATTTTTATTGTTTGAAAGAAAAAGTGTTTTTCCATTTAAAGTGACGTTTTGAAAAGAAATAATTATTATTTAGAGTCGTCACTTGGAATTGAGTTTTGTTGTTCCAAGTCACCTTATTTAAATCTCCAATCAAAAGAAAATTTGACTTTATTTTTATTGGTCTGCGAACTAGTAATCTGAGTAAGGAATTCTGTTGACCGAGGGGTAGGTGTTATGCACCCCTCGAGTCCCGCGGTTTCTGGCACGATCGCTTTATTGACTTTAGTCTGACTTAAATTAATTTTTAGACATTATATTATTTAATTAATAATAAAATTATTATTTACCCTCAAATTTATAGTAAATTTATTTGAAATTGGCTTATTTATTTTAAATGTTTTTATTTTTTAATGTTATCAAAAAATTTCTTCAAATTAGAATTTGTGTTGAAAAAAGATTTTTTTGAGTTCAAGATAATTTAGGAATATATATTTATTTATTTATTAGATAAAAAATAAGATAAATAATTAAATTTAATATGATATGAAGTTAGTTTTTATCAAGAAATACTAAATAAATTAGGAATGTTATTTTTTTTAATCAAAACAAAATTGTCCCCTTTTTTAAAAACCTTTTTTTTCTCTTTTTTCTTTTTTTTTTCTCTGCACGTTTTTGTTTTATTTTAAATTTTATATTTTTTTTCTGTACAATTTCTTTTTTATCATTATTTTTATTTTATTATTATTTTATATATTTTATCTTCTTCTCCCCCTTTTTTTTTTTAAAAAAAGTTGTCACTTTTTTTCTACTTTCTTTTTCATTTTTTTTCTACTTTTTGTTTTATTAGTTTTAAAATATTTTTATTTTCATTCTTCTTTTCTCTTTTTTGTTTCGATTCTTCACGTTTTTTTTCTTCTTTTTTTTATTTTCTGTTTCTGTTTTTTTAATAAAAAAATGGGTTATTTTTTTATGTTTTTTTTTAATTCTTATGTTCTTTTTCATTTTTTTAATTACTCTTTCTCATTATTTTTCATTTTAGTTATAACTCTTAATAATATTTATATATTCTATCAATTATAAACTTTAATAATTTGAATTAGATAAATATCTTATACTTATTCTAAATATAATTTTTAATTCAAATAATGTGTTAAAAAAATTGAAACATATTACACATAAGTTTTTAAATTTATAATCAATTAAAAATTTTAGTTTACATCCTAATCTAACAAGTTTATAAATTTTATTTTATTTTTTTAGTGAAAAACTAGGCTCCAGAAAATCATTAGCTATAAATTATCACAAAATAAATTTTGATATAACTTGCATCTAAAAAAATAACAGACACTAATAATAATGCAAAAAAAAAATATGTATGATACATCTTTTATTTTATATTGTTTTTGTTAGCAAATAACATTTTCTTTTTGTTTCGTTTTTCAGATCGAGAGAAAAAATTATAAAAATCATAAACATGCATCACTAATTGATATTAAATAATAAAATACGATTCAAAGAACTTCATATTATTAGATTCAAATTTTCATACAACATTACATTTAAATAATGCGAGAATTTAGATGTACCTCGCTACGAAAATGGATATCACGAAAAATAATTTCTAAAATCTACTGATTCGAGCCACGATTTAGGACCACAACAAAAAATACTAACTTTAACCTAATTCTCCAAAACAATAACTCACTTTTCTTCTCTTTTTGTTAGCTCTATATCTCTCTCTATATGCTTTTTTCAACTGAACGTGGGATTATATAATATTTTTTGTGTGAGAATCTGGTGTTAATTTTAAGAAACGTAGTGTAGGGGGATTAAGATTAAATTTAAAAAATACTTGAGAAAATTGGGGTTGAGATAAGAATATAAAATAAATAAATAATAATAATAGAAAATAAACAAAATAAACATAAATAAAAAAATTGTGTGAAGTTTTAAAAAAAAACGTCCAAAAGGAAAAAAAATACAAAAAATTAATAAATGGGATGAGATTTTTTAGGAAAATACATTACGAAGTTGGGAATGATTAGGATAAGGTAAAACAAATTTGAAATCTTTAGGAGTCCTCTTTTTTTTTCTTTTTCTATACTTTTTCATAATATTTTCTATATTATTATTATTTTTAGACTATATAATTAACAAATAACTTAAATTCCCAACTTGTATTTATCATTTTTCTTATTATTAAACTATAATTGATCTTATAATTTTTATTAATTTAGAATTTCTTATTATTATTTTATTTTATTTTAAATATAACCCTTTTTTAAATTGATGTAAAATATATTATGTTTTGGTAAAAAAATTAGGTGTTCACAACATTAAACTATTGCATTTCATTACATCTACTCCGCCAAATGACAAATATTATTAAATTAGTTTTTAATTAAACTTATAGTTTTGAGTTATTATTTTATATTTAAGTCACTTATTTTGTTTCATTAATATTAAGAAGCTCATAAATGAATTATACTAATTTGTCTTACTTAGTTTTAGTCAAACTCAACGAAAATAAGCCCATAAAATCTCGATCTCTAAAAACTCAAGCCCATGTCGAGCAGTAAAGCAATGTTGCGACTCCACCTGTCTTGCACGTGTTGTCTTCCCAGTAGGATAGTATTGTTCGCAGCAGAGAAAAAGCAACGCGTCTCTGTCCTTGGGATCGTTAGATCGAGCTATTCCTCACCCCAAGGACTATCGAAACGATTTTCCCGTCCGTTCCCCTTTCCACTTTCGGAATAGGTTTAAATGATAGAAAAAAAGTTTGTTCGGACAAAACAGTGAAAGATATCTGGGCGTTTCAATTTGAAATGGGCCTCAAATCTGGATATTTTTCGTCCCTCCCCCCCAAAAAAAAAAATTAATTGAAAACCCTATGAATCTCCAATATTTTTTCTATTTTGCTTCATGGTGAGAGGAGAATTTTTTTTTCGGATAAGAAATTTTTTTGAGAAAGTTGGAAAAAAATAGGCAAAAATAGAGAAAATTTGGATCAATGTAGAAATAAAAATGATAGTTTTGTATTCTCTGAGTTTCTAAGGCTACTGTTTGGAGTTCGAGTTTCTCGTTGTAGCTTCAGTCTTTGCGGTTGAATAGTTCACTTCTATCTCGTGGTTTTATTCCAATTTCGCTGCCTAAAAGAAGGTAAAAGCCCCTCCTTTAGTTTTGCTCGTTTAACTTTTGATTCTTCTGCATTTCTTCTGTATATGTGTTCAACTGAGACTTCTCAAGGTTGATTGGAATCATATTTGTTTGGTTTGCTGAAGTATGCTTAAGCATATTTAATGTTTCTTTCATGTTCTTTTTCGTATTTTGAGTTTTTTTGTTGTTGTTTAAGTTAATTCAGCTATTATATTTTCTATTTATCATCCTTTTTTTTTAAAAAAAAACAACCTTTATGGGGTTTGAAGTGAGGTAAAGCTTTGTGTTTTCATGAATATCTTGCAGTAAGGAGGCTGATTTTGGTTTTGAAGTATATGTTTTAAATTTCATTTGTTTCTGATGGATGTTTGGTCATTCAATAGTCAGTGGTTTTTCTGTTATGACCCGTCTGTGTGAAGCTTCTTGAGTTTAAGCTTTCTTCGCTCATAGAATTTAAGTTACTTTCTAGTCGATTAATTTGTGTTAAATCTGTCCAGTTTAGTTTGATCTCGTTATTGGAGGAATTTTTCATTTTCCTTTGGAGAGTTGTCAAGACATCGTTTAAAAATTAGGAAGTTATTTATGCCATTAGCTTGTTTATCTATTTTCTGTCACTAGTGTTGAGAATTATTTATTTTTTCCATGTTTAGTGGATATCTTAAATTTGCTTAAATTTTGGTTGTTACTGTAGCAATTTTTGGGGTCATTTCGTTGGATTTTGGTTCATCCCAAACCATCTTGTTAGAATTATGTTTTAAAAGAGGAAAAGGGAAAGTTGATTGACTAGCTTCTAACTTTGGAGCATGAACGTGTGTTGAATATGTTAAAGTTACTGTCAAAATGTGTTGTTGTCATGCCAATCTAATGTTTGGTCTTACTATAATTGAATCATCTAATAGTATTCGGGATTTTCTGGCTTTATTGTTCATCTTAGTTCCTTGTCATACTTTAGCCTCTTTCGGTTCATTATTATCCTATGAGTTTTAATCTCCCTTATCTTTAGAGTTACAGCTTAAGATGTTACCATCGAATACTATTTTCCGCTCTGTTTATTTGCATGTAAATCTGCCCTAGTTCATCAAAAGCTCTTTCTTCCTTGCATTTTGAGAGAACTTTTAAGGTACAAATTCTTTATTGAGTCGGCCAATCAATAGAACCGAAGAGAAATTCCATGAATTTGGCGTAAAGGTTTTGGTGTCGGAAAATTCAAATCATGGCAAATAAGTTTAAGATTTTGGGTCGAGAAGCGTAAATTTATTTTTTGAAATTTGTATTTTGTTATTTTTGGGACGAAACCTTTGTTTCTTTTATTATCATTCTATAGTTAGAAGTTTAGGACAGGTGGAAATGGGCAGTGGGTCCAAATACCGGTCCACACGGATAGAAATCGGATTTGGACCCAACTTTCTCTCTCTCTTTTACATTATTGTGTATTTTTTTATTTGTGGTTATATCGTTGGTTTTAGGGTTTAAAATTCAATCCCTCACAAAAAGCTATTTCCTTTTGACGACTCTATTAAATTAACCAAGTATAAATAATCTTTAAACAAATTTTGCAAGTCAAATATCACTTAGCTAGTAAATTAATATTTCACTTTCAAACAAATTCTAAATAATTTTTATCTCAAAATTAAGTTTGATATTTTATCCAAATAATTTAGTTGTCGGAGAATCACAAATTAGAGAATATTTTTGGTGTCGTAAAAACCTTCCTAAAATAGTAATAAGAACTCCCGAACCCCGTCAAGTTTTCACTAGAATTAATGTTTTAATCTTTTGAAAACAAAGGTTTCTTGATTTTGCTCAAATGAAATTGCGACTCTAAGTAACAAGTCTAAAAACTAAATTTTTTTGATTCCAAAGGAAATAAACAACAACGACCTGTAGGAGATGTAGTGTAGGTTATGTTAGGGAATTTAGACCAAGTGTGGAACCACGAAAACCAATGACAGATCAATGGTCGAGTGACGGCCTATTTTGCACATCCGTCGTTAAGATATGAAATTCTGAGTTCTAGTACCTGAACCATGGAGGTGCTTATGGTCTGTAGGTCGACCCACGGTCCGTAAGTACTATCTTTAGTCGAAACCACATCCTGGACTAATTTTCCTTATTTTCCTTTTGAGTTGGTTTAGGATTTGTCTTCTAAAAATATTAGTTGTAATTTCCCCTTTTCGAAGGTTAGACATTATTGTAGACTTTTGTTTTTGGTCTTCTGGAATTATTTTGCTAACTCTTAGCAATTTAATTTTTGTAAGATGATTTATGCAATTGCACTTTGAATTTCAATTCAAGATTTCGGTTTTCATCTATTCTAATTGTAAGTTCATTATTTATTTTAACCTAAATATGAATTATGAACTCTCAAGCATGAGTAGCTAAATCAACAACTAGGGTTGCGGGAACTATAAGCAATAACAACATATGAACTAATAATTAAGTAATTCTTGAATAGTGTTAACACATGTATTGTTAAAATTTTCGTTTAGAAGTCTTTATAGTAGTGTACAACGTCAGAAATTATCTTACCAAGAAAGTAATGAATGAGAAAAAAGATTAAACAACATAGATTTAGTTATGAATTTACTGCTATCTAATAGTTTGACTTTAATCAATTGACGTTAGGCTTAATACCCAAAGAAATTGACATGATAACTAATCAAGGGCAAACGTAAGGGTTAGTAAATACCACAGCGTACATAATCCAAGTCATGAGTGAAAGTTCCTACAATGACTACCAATCAGGTAGGATTACATACATTATCAGTCTTACATGTCAAACACTAGGATACGATTAATGTTAAGAGAATTATTGCGTTAAGAACTCGTGGGGAGCACATATGCCCTACTTTACATCTTATATTGATATTTCAAATTGTGAATCTTGTTTACTTGTTACTTAATCATTCAAACCAACAATCTGTTATTTTTTTAATAAAAAACATGTTTACTTTTCTCAGAAATAGTTTAACTAAAAATAGATAATGGTGAGTTAAGTTTATGTCTAAACCATATTTCTCGTGAGATCAACTCCAACCTACAAGTTGGGTTCTTTACATGATAATATGTCTTATACTTCTTAAGGAGGTGTAATTTGAGTGTATAAATTTGGTGCCGACACCGAGGAATACAACTAATAGATTAAGTTTACCTACATTGTTGAACTTTAATCAAGTATTTCCTGATTTTACCTTTTCTCTTTGTTTTTCTTTTATACATGTCTTATATTTTGTGTATGCCAAGTACACTGAGTCAAGGGGAACCATTGACCCGCTTAGAATCCTAATTTGAGAAAAACTTTCAGGAAAATGTCTAACCAAGGGGTACACACTTATCCAATCGGAGAGGGTCAAGGAGATGGAGTTGAACTTCAACTTACTAGAGTTGTTAATGCGGCCACCGAAATTAAAAATGGTCATCTTATAAGAAATGTAGAAAGGGTTCAAAATACGACAGTATCGAGTGCTCGTGATAACTAAATGGACGACTATGATGCGGTTTGGATTAGCGGGCCTATTTTTCTCCCTCCTTTACCTCTTTATCATACATATTTGGTGATTAGTAGTCTTATGCAAAAGCTTACCGCAAAAGGTTGTTTGTTGGGTTAGCTTAAGAAGATCCATATTCTCACATGGCCAGCTTGAGTAGTGTCTGTAAGAGTTGTGTGGGACTATCAGATTTGGATATGAACATCATAGGTTTAAGAGTATCCCCTCTGTTGTTGACTGGTGATGTTTTTGTGTGGTTTTTTGAGATCACTGAAAACTTGAGAGAATTTCCCAAAACAATAAGGCACGGAGCACTGTAAAAACAAATATTGGTAGGATCACGTTTGCTATCCAAATTACACCAAGTCAATCAAATTATAAAATTTATCCTACATTAATATCGATGGTAAATCATAGTGTGGAGTGAGAATGTGAAGTGTCTATTACAGAAAGATTAGGTGTTGATACACTAGCAGCGGTAATGATGAATTTCGATACTGAGGTTATTGATTAGTATGATGAGCTAGTTGTTGCAATTAATCGGTTCTAATTTCATTTCAAGCCAAAAAAAATTGAAATTAATAATGATGAATCCGAACACCCCACCTGCAAAACCTTCTATTGATGATCCTCCAAAAAATGAACTCAAACTCTTCCATTTCACTTGAGGTATGTATTCTTTGGACAAAACAACACCTTGTCCGTCATTATTATTGAAGACTTGATTATAGGTCAAAAATAGCTTTTATATCGGTGTTGAAGCGGTAAAAGAGGTCTATAGGATAGACAATTACATATATTATTGGGACTCCTCCGGATATTTGTTCACATAAAATCTAGCTCATATCGAACATAAAGCCAAGTATGGAGCATCAAAAGAGACTGAATACCCACAAGCAAGAGGTTGTAAAAAAAGAAATAAATAATTAGTAGGTTGGAGTCATATATCACATTATTGATAGTAGTTCAGGTTGGGTCAGTCCTATGTGTGCCGAAAAATAAAGAATCATTGTAGTTCATAATTACAATAATGAGCTTCTTCCAACGAGGCCGATGAGTGTCTGGATAATGTGTATAAAATACCACAAGTTAAATACATAGAATAAGAAATATCATTTTCCAATGTCTTGGGTCCATCCACGGCCAGTTGATGGAGAAAGTTGGTGGCTGCAATTTAAACCTTTTGGGTTGTTTTAATGACACACCCCTGGAATTCCATTACCTTTACTAGAGACTTATATGTTGAGTAATGATAATTTTAGACATAAATAAATGTAAATAACTTGTTTGAGATATATTGGGGCCATAGCTTTAAAGAAAGGTCTTAACGTCCGGAAACTAGCGAAAACAAACTAGTTAACATCCGAATGGTTGGTGAAGGTTTGAGAGGGTCATATGAAGTGAAAAACATATAAAAAGACTTAAAATGGGTAAAATTTAGTATAGAGGGACAAAACGTACAATCACAACACTCCAAGGACCACTAGAACGGTCCTTGGGGAGGACCCGAACAAGAGCGAGCAGGCTGCCAAAGCAGCCTATGTGGAGACATGAATTTTGTGGCTGCTGCTTGATGCACAACTATCACACAGGGATTTTAAATTTGCCTCGTGACGTGGGGCCTACACGAGGTCTACTGCCTCAACCTGGATTTCAAAAATAAATCATGAAATTAACCCGGCGACGTGCAGCCACTTCTCATATTTGTATAAGTTGTATTTTAAACATTTTGACTTCACAAAAAAAACCCATTTAAGTGAGGGGTCTTTTGGGTAATTTATGGGGTGACCATATAAGTTATTAGGTTCAGTTTTAAGTCAGCTTTACCCACTCCAATCAAATTTCTAAAACAAAAACCCAAAAATTACTCTCCTCTCTCTACTTTGTCTCTCCCTAAATCCTCCATTGAAGAAGCAAGAAAACTTGAAAAAGAAGACCAATTTCTCTAGGGTTTAAATTGGATTTCGTGGGTTAAGCTTCATTAAGTTATGATTTATTTCAATCTTGGGATTCTTTTCCTAAGGAGGTCCCTCCAAAAGATGATTTCTAAATCCCCCAAATATAGGTTTTCGTCTACACATGGGTCTTCTTCAAAAAAAGGAAATTATGGATCAATTGTGATAAATTATGATGAATTAATGTTTTTAAGTATATTTTGATAGTTAATTGACGATTTCCTTTGAGATTTCCCTAAACCCATGTTCTTCCCCTAACTTTATGAAGACTTTGAATTGATATGGTGAATTGTGAAAATCATGAATATGTAGATTGGCTACATTGTTGTTATTTACGTAATTGCTTCTTGAATTTACCTTGTTTATGTAATTGGCTATGTATTCTTGGTAATGGAGATATGAAGGATCTTGTAAGAGCAATGATGTATGTTGATTGGTTCTTCTTAGAGCAATTATGAATTACGAGTTGCTTAGATAATAATGCTTATAGGTCTAATGTGTGGTTGTAATATTGATTCTAAGTATTCTTCACCCTTAACCCTAGACTATTGAATTGGTATTGAATTATGCAAGTATGTCATGGAATGATTGGTATTGAATTGTGCAAGTATGTCATGGAATGATTATTATATGATTGAAAGAAGTTTCTTATGATTATAATAAAGTGTTAAGTGATCACTTATGAAGTGGTGTCTAAAGTGAAAGGATTATTCTAACTTGTGATGACCTATGAGCTAGATATGATAAGACATTTACATAGGGGTCTAGAAGAGACTAATGTTTAAGTATGTGAACTCTTACTAGGGTTGTCTTGAAAGCTACTACATAGGTTAAGGGAGGCTATGGGACTTCTCTTGCTCATTGCACATGTGGGATCCTAAGGGATGGTTCTAGTAATGTTCTTTTAAGACTATCACTATGATTATGATTATGTTGATAAACTATGAGTATTATTCATTTATTAATCATGTAATGATGAATTTATGAGAATAAGTTGTAAGTATGAAGCGGGTTGCTTAATGTGATACTTAGCTTTGGATAGGATTATGGGGTTCAATGATGACTTCTTTGCACAGAAAGTCACTCAATCTATTTAATTATTTTTTTCATTAAAATTTAGTGACATGAAATTTAATTATTAACATAAATTTTAAGAATAATATATATATACATTTAATCCATTTAATGATCCGCCCATTTGATCAAACCCGCTAAAAATATAATATTAAACATTTTGTTTTACCATTCCTTCCCTAAATCATTCCGCATTGAATATTGAACATTTTATTTTACAATTAATTACTAAAATAATGTGGGAGACAAGGTAGAATGATTTAGGGAATTAATAGTAAAATAAAATGTTCAATATTATATTTTTAGCGGGTCGGGATAAATGGAGCGGGTCATTAAATGGGTATATATTCGATTCTTAAAATTTTGGTTAATAATTAAAGTTCTATGACAGTTAAATTTAATGAAAATAAAAATTTAATAGGTTGAGTGGCTTTCTGTGGAAAAAAGTTATAGTTGAATGACTTGAGTTGAAAAAGAAAGTTGAATGACTTTTTGTGCAAACAAGTTATAATTGAGTGACTTTTGTGTTCAAAATAGAAGTTGAGTGATTTTCTGTGAAAACAATTGATAGTTGAGTGACCATCAAAGTTATTAACTCCACAAATATTTTTTGGGTGATCTTCATGTTGGGTTTTTATTATGTTGAATTGGCTTATTATGCTTCTTAGATATGCATGTTGAGTTAAACTGACAGAAAGCATGATTTTGACTAAAATTTTCCTTTTCTAATGTATTGATGATTTTGTGTATAGGAGTCATACTTAGTACATGTGGTTTATACTAACCCATATTTCTTCCTTTTTTCCCAAACAGTTTAGGTTTGGTCCATTGATGAGATTCGTGTCTACTGGAGAAGAAGACTTGGATCTTTCCTAAGTCAATTGGTGAGTCCTATTGAGTTCCAAGGATAGAGTTACTCTTCAAGTTGAGACTTCATTGTAGCCTATATGGACATATTGTAATAGACTAAGGGCTATGCCCAAACTATTGTAATTCATACTCTTGTAGATAGTTTAATGTGAGACAAAGTATTAGACTAAATTCCTAAATGTTGGTTATGTTGTCTATTACAAAAGCCTAAGTAAGCTTATTATGTGAGGAGTCTATGTAAACTCCTTATGTATATATATTATGTGTAAGCGGAAAGTCTATGTAAACCTCATGGAGTAGATGTAGATGAAAAGTTTTAAATTTTCCCGCATTTTTTACCTATGATGTGCTATGATGTATGCTAAGGGCTTGTCTTAGTCCTTTTAGAGGACGACGATGCCGCTTACACCTAAGAGGTACTTTGGGTCGTAACATTTAAGGGTACTCCTCAAGAACCCCTTGGTGGTTCTTGGGAGGTCGACCTTGATGCCCTAACCCTAAAACAATTATTCTCAGTACGAGAATCATTTTTATTATTTTAACCCTTAGACAAAACTCTAAAACACTCATGCAATACTCTAGAACTTTCTAATTTGTTTCCCTACTTGCCAGGGTGTTACACACATCCTATTGATCCACTCATTGTTGACCAACTTGATAGGCATCAACTTTGATCAAAATCTGTATAGAATCATAATACTTAGGATTAATTCTCTTTAAGAGCATACTTTTAGTGAATTGGGGACTCCCTGATCCTGGGGATCAACATTTCTCCTAGCAGGACGATCTCAAAAATCTGTTCGTGTAAGAATGATCTGAAAGATATGGGCAAGAGCGAAGTATAAAGAAACTTTCATAGAGTTAAACTCTATCACATGAAAAAGAGTAAGAAGGAAGGGAATTATTTCTTAACTGTTGTACATGTGGCACACTTCACACCGATTACCATGGTTCTACAGACACGACTTCATAGATACCCCAGAACTCTTGAATTGTGTTCCCTAATACTAATACTAAGTTTTCACGCCCTCAACTTACACCATAAACATTAACAATACTCGAGAAGCATACCTGGTTTCCAAGAAAACCTTTGGCCTGGATCTAAAGTTGGTTCTACAGTTGACCAGTACATGGCCATAAGATTTATGTGTAGCATAGGTACCAACATAGATAACTCCGACAGTTATTTCTTAAGTGTATTCAGGTATTTTCCGTGCATTTAATGCCTATACTATATCATTTTGATCATGAATCTAAGTCCTATTACAACCTCTCATTCCCATAATCTACCAAAACACTCTCATTCTCTGAAATTCCCAATTCTTCTTCTTCTTCTTCCTCTTCTTCTTCTTCTTCTTCTTCTTCTTCTTCTTCTTCTTCTTCTCTTTTTGACTTCGTATTCTTATACGTAACTAACTAACCGACCTCCCTAAACCATTAATTAATTATTAATTAATTCGCAAATCCTAAATAAAAACTAAAACATTAAAAATCATCTTGACCTGAGACTTAACCATCCACGGACTGTAGATATGTCTACTTCTTGTACTGCACACTCGTGAATATGGTACTATGTCTAGAAAAGGATAGCTTTTGGAGGCTTTTATCCACGACCTCAACCCACCGGGTGTGGGTCCATCCATGGCTAGTATATGGCAATAGTGGGTGGATGCAATTTACACCTTTTGGGATGTTTTAAGGGTACTCCTCAACGACCCCTTGGGTGGTTCTTGCGAGGTCTTACTTTGACGTGCTAACCCTAAAACCATTAATATAAGTACGCGAATCATTTTTATTGTTTAAACCGTTAAGCAAACTCTAAAACTCTCATGCAAGACTCTAGAACTCAGTAATTTAGTTCCCTAGTTTATGGGTTTTAAAGACATCCTATTAGTCCACTCTTTGTTGACCAATTTGATCGGCAACAACTTCGGTCAACATCTTGATAGAATCCAGAACATAGCATTAGTTCACTTATGGGTTGCACTTCTGATAAATTTGGGAACTCCTTGTCTTGGGGATCAACATTTCTCCTATCAGGACGATCTCAAAAATCTCTTTGTGTAAGTATGATTTGAAAGATAAGCGCAAGAACGACGTACAAAGAAACTTTCATAGAGTTAAACTCTATAGCACAAAAAAAAGAGTAAGCATGAGGGGAATTGTTTCTTCACTGTTGTAGCTTCCCAATTATATATGTCGCGCACTTCACACCGACTACCATGACTCTACAGACATGACTTCATACATACCCAAAACTCTCGAACTCTGTGCACTAAAGTTGATTCTATAGTTGACCAGTACGTTCTATAATTGTTTTGTGTACCATAGGTCCCATCATAGATAACTCCGATAATTAATTCTTCAGGATATTCGGGTCATTGTCCTATAACTACCTTTCAATCCTTAAATCTACCAAAACCCTCTCATTCTCTGAAATTCCCAAATCTAATCCATATTCGTTCTCTTCAAACTCTCTCAAGATTCAAAGAAGAAATCTAGGGTGGCAGCTTCAAGTATCTATTTTCTCCAGTAGTTTTTGTGTTTTGATCATTGAAGTATGTGGACATTCACCATTGGACTCCATTCATCCATTGGGTCACAAAATATTTCCAAGTTTCAAATTCAACATTATCAAGTTAGATTGGAACTTCATCCAATTATCCATATGTCCTATTTTTTTTTATAATTATTGATTTTTATTTTTTTATGCATTATCTGTTAAATTACACATTTTTCCAATTTATTACATATGGATACATGCATTGTTCATGATTTTGACTATGAATTTATGAAGAAAACTATGAACTTGTAAATGATGATTTATGAAAGCCATGCATGATTTATGGAAAAAGTGAGCTTTGGTTTATTTAAGGTTATTAAGCCAACCTAAAATCATTTTATTTGAGATATCCTTGGATCTCCTAGGATACTTATGCCTAATTGTGTAAGAGAGAAACAATACACACCAAGATCACGTAATATTGACTTTACCCCAAAGCCTTAACATTGATTACTAAAAGACCTAATCTCAAGATTGACTTCTTACTATCATCTTTATACCTAGATTTTAAGGTATTTAATCACATTCTTCACTAGTAGGTGATTCTAGTCATAACTGATCATAAAGGTTCAATTTCATATTTTCAAGTCATGATCAATCAACTGAACTGTAATCTATTTTAGTTCACTTCTATGTTTTCCTAACCTTGAAAAATTACTACACGTGACATAATTTTAGAACATCAATTAGAATACCTCAATTTTATCTTTCTATCATCAACCCACATAATATTACATTCATAAATTAGACTAGGGTTTACCTTCAAAATCACATAAATTCATCATAATATCATAATTCAATGCTAATACAATCATAATTAGGTGTTATCTACTACATTGGAATCATACCTAAAGCTACCGTCAATAACTTGCGAATGTATGATGTGAAAACGAACTTTCGTAAAATGATGTTCTTCTTCTTCTTCTTCCTAATTAAGTAACCGACCTACCTACCCCTAAATAATTACTAATTAATTTCCATATCCTGACTAAAAACTAAACTTTAAAATATTCTTGTCGTACGACTCACCCTTCCACGGTCCGTAGATGGGTCTAAGCTTGTAGTGCACACTCGTGGGTGTGGTACTTTGTCTAGTAAAGGCATGCCTTTGCAGGCATTGATCGATGTCCCCAACCCACTATTGGGCTATTGCCAATGTTCCAGCCAAAGACCCATGATCTAATCCTACTTGGAAAAGGATTGAAATTATTGTCTTTATTTGGTTTCCAATTCTGTTAGAAAAGGATTAAAATTGTAATCCTATTTGTAGTTGGTTTTGACTTTGTAAGGAAAAGCACAACTCTATAAATAGAGGATGGTCTTGAAAGAATAGTCAATTGCTTATTTTATGTCCAAATAAGTGGTATTAGAGCTAAGGTTATCTATATGGAGGGGAATATAAGCAAGATGTTATGTCTAAATGGAAGAAACTACAACATATGGAAAAACAAGATGAAAGATTTTTTGTTCGTGAAGAAGATTCATCTTCGATTTTTTTCTGCTCATAAACCCGAAAATGTGATCGATAAAAATTGAAAATTTGAGCATCAACAAGCATGTGATTGTATATGATAATGGGTTGAAGATAATGTTCGCAATCTTATTGTAAATGAGACACATGCAAGAACATTGTGGGAAAAGTTGGAGACATTTTACGTTTCAAAAACTGGCAATAATAAGTTGTTCTTGTTAAAGCAATTGATTAAATTTAACTACAAGGAGGTTAGTCTTATTCTTGATCATATAAATGATTTTCAGGATATTCTTGAGCATCTATAAGGAATGGGTTTTAATTGTGTGGATGAAATACAAGGACTTTGGTTTCTTAATACTCTACCGGATTCTTGTTAAACTCTTCGTATTTCTTTAACAAATTCTGTCATTGGTGGAAAGCTGACTATGGACTATAAGAGTGGTGTGTTGAATAAAGATCTTATAAGAAAAATCTCAAGACACATCTTCACATTCAGAAGTTCTATTAACAAGAGATCGGAGGAGTAGAGGAAAAAGCAGAAGCAAGTCAAAATTCAAAAATCCAAATATTATATGTTCTCATTGTGGAAAGAAAGGACAGATTAAAAGATTTTGCAAACAATTGAAACAAGATCTTAAAGAAGGTAAAAAGGAAGAAAACAATGAAAATAATGTTGTTGTTGTCCAAGATGACCTTCTCTTCTCTTGTGATAAAGACGTTATCAATTTTGTATCTCAAGATACAAGTTGGATAATAGGTTCTGGAGCCACATCACATGTCACACCAAGAAGAGACTTTTTTCATCTTATACTTCTGTTAACTCTGAGGTGTTAAATATGGGTTATGCTGGTGAGGTTAAGATGTTCGGTGTTTGCACTGTTTGTTTGAAAACCAATACTTGTTCAACGTTGGTCCATCAGAATGTGAAGCATGCTCCAGAAATTCCCTTAAATTTGATCTCTGTAGGACAACCAGATGATGATGATGGATATCATAATCACTTGTTAAAATTCCAATGTAAGCTCACCAAAGGCTCATTGATTTTAGATCGAGGAAGAAAACATTCAAATTTCTATGTGACAAAAGGATCGATTCTTGGTGACTCTATAAAATTGGTGAAGAGCGAGACTTCATCAGAATTATGTCACAAGAGGCTTAGTCATATGAGAGAGAGGGGGATCACATGTTTGGCTAAGAAGAATTTGCTTGCTTGTATGAAACAAACAAAGATGAAAAGAT